TTCGATCCGCAAAACCTTCTCCGTAAGAGCCGACCGCACTATCCACTCCGCCATCCGCCGACCACGGAACACTGGTTGCGGGAGTCGTTGAAGTAACTTCGGTACTACTTTTCTCCATGCACACTCTTTTTGACTTTATTTTGCTCTCTTTTCGATACATAGTGAAGGAACACCTCATAAACTAAGCACTCTCAAAGTTACAGCTACAACAGAGCCCAATAAGACGGTTAAAATCGCCCTTTCTTGTCAAATTGTTTTCACTCAGTTTTTGACCTCCCCAGAAACGCATAGCAAAAATGAAACCCATTTTTGTGATCCTTGTATGGACCCCTACAACAAGCAACAAACCATTTGAAAAGCGCGCCACGACCTGAAAGACCTCCCTTGTCAGAACCGTACAGGGCCTTTTGATTCGTACTAGATGAGAGGAAAAATGAACAGTGACTTGTTCATTGCATGGGCCCCGCAAGTTATTGCATAGGTCATATTGAATTCATACTGTGCTCACGATTCTAGACGGAACTACTGGCGCGTCCCAAAAATGGATTGGTTGACGTTGAGAGCTTTACCCTTTCAAATTCGAATCTTATCGCTTTGTCAACGTTAATGAATATTCAGGTAGTGACGTCAACGATAGCGGGCTGTCGAGGTTTCGATAGTGAAGCTGCCATTGGAGGACTGTTGGAGTTCGAGGCAAAAAGGTATGGCATCGGTTGACCTGTCAGTTGCGCTTAATAGGTGCAGTACTCGAAATGCTGATGTCCTCATTTCGACTACTACATGTAATACCGGCGGAGGTGGTGTACTAGCGAGGGGATCGCTTACCGCACGCGCGGTCAAATCCCGAATATGCTCCCACCCAGGCCTTGTAACCTCCAGGGACCTTCAATCGGTACCAGATCCGTTTGTAAGAGTGAAGAACGCCGACTCATACATCGCCTGGGCTCCGCATAGGTATGGTATTCAGTAGGCCACCACAACTCTGATTGGAAGTAGGGCTACATCCCAAAAAGGATTTGTTATTGATTGACAAAAGGGTTTTCCTTTTTCTATAATACCAAAATCGACTGAGCCAAGTTCAGGCGTGGTGCTGAAATGTTGGCATATCCTCCGGTTATCGCGGCTGGACAGCGAGCTAATACTATACACTATTTGGATGCCAATCAGGGAATCGAAAAGAGGTGAAGTTCGTTGTTTTCCATTCGGAAGCAAGTAGTCCAAAACACCTTGTATGACGCGCAGATGAGTAGAAAGAGGAGCTTCCTAGCCGTTATACGCGTTCTTCGATTTTTTGCCATGAATTCCGAATACGTATCACTGTTTGAGGCACTTCATTCCCTAAATTGTTCTCTGTTGCAGCGATTGTGTGCTGATGGACGCTGGTTGTGATCTGAACGGCTATGTATCCGACGTCACGCGTTGTTTCCCAATTTCCGGAACGTTCTCTTCTGCTCAGCGCACACTATATGACGCACTGCTGTATGTGCACGAACAATTACTCGCGTACGCACATGACTCGGAAAAAGTAAGTTTTTGTAGTTTTGCTTTTGAAAGGAGAATCGTTCAGTCCTAACTGTGTCAAGTCATTCGAGTATCCCCATCGTTGCAAACTGGCAGGGTAATTCTTTGCTTCTTGACTTGTCACGTCGCAGCCTTGTCACATGTATTGGCGGCAATGCTGCGTTCTGGTGGAAATGCCGCATGAGCCGTGAGCCCGCTTGCAGTGCCTTTTTAGCCCCCTCACTTCGGTCGCTACTCGGATGTGGGACTGCTGGAAGTACAGTCTTGACCCCTGCGACGCTAGGGCGTTCCAGCGCGGAACGGGAGGGGGAAGCGGTGCGTTCAGCTAACGGCAGCGTATTCTCCGATATATGCTAGCTGGCAAGCGACCTCAATCGGTGGAGAATAGATTGACGTCCTGCCAAACCTAGCCTCATGAAACCTCCCAACGTCAGCAGTGGACAAGACTGTAGAGGGCTGTGGAAGTTCTTCGAAGGTGCAAACCTTCACCTTCTACCAAGTCCTTTTATTTTCATTCACCTATACACCAAGGTTTTGACCCTCATTGCTGTGACCTATCCGTTGATCATCAGCTTATTTCAAATTCACTGGGATTTCAGATCCGCCTTAGCAACATCTATAGTCGTATGATATAGAACTTATATCTAGCGCAATGCTTGAAATCGGAATGCTACCTCAATCGACAGACCGCGCCAGAAACTGTGCAATTCGTTAACTTTTTGGGAGTAGACCATAAGATTTTTCATCTGTTGGGTAAGTCTAAAAGAAATTAAGGTTGCTGAATCGCTATGCCCTCATCATGTGAGTCACTACCTCGGTATGGATGTGCATGATTGCACTTCGATCTCTCGTGATATCGATGTTCCTCACGGAACTGTTTTCACCATAGAGCCAGGTTTGTTGTCTTTCCTGCCCGAGTTTACACTGGCGGGATATTACAGCACGAAATTAGCCGCTTTTGTGCTGGGTAAGTATAGAAACGCTACGCAGTGACAAGCTGTACACTCCACCGGCGTGAATCCCTGTGATGCTATGTCCGGCAGCCCTGCAGTAGCGTGAAACTTTCTCGCTGAAAGTGTACGCGAGACTGATGCTGGAGCTGGAGTACATTTTTCATACTGCGCCGCGCTACAGCACGGAACGCACACTCTTAAACATGCTATACGCCGCTACTTAGCTGCATTTGCCTTTATTGTCGATTGTTCTCTACCGCTGAACAACGTCTTCCGCGATGGGATCTTGGTATTGGCGTAAGAGTGAGGATAGCGTGGGCTGAATGTGGAGACTGCACCTGGGTATCACCACTTTCCAAACCCTTTCCTATGCGCTTCTAGAGAAATTAGACGCTACGACCCATTCACCTCGCAGATAGAAAGGATCGTCGTAGTGTATATGTCTTCAAATTATGGCACGCCGCAGTTATATCGAAAATATATGTAAGAAATATATATTTCCGGAGGCACAGGTGGTGGGTGGAGCGTTTACCTTGCTCGCGAACAGGTAGTCAAATCCCGAAAAAGCTCCCGTCTCGGTCAAGCAAGCCTCCTAGCCTACGACCGACTTGTGCATCTGCTGGCCTCTGCAAGTCATTGTATAGGCTACATCACATTCAATAAGTCACTGCGAAACCTAGTAGTACAGTACAATGCGTCCCTCATGTCAAAAGGAAGTGATTAGAGGTGAAGGCTTTAGGCTAGGCTTCATGTTTTCATATCCGAAATTGTTTTTTCCCTACTTTGGAACATGAGGGATTGCCTAAAAAGTCGAGAGAAACCATTAGTTCTCTGGGGTGGTCCACAGTGGTTCATCCAATATCGAGCTTGCTTGAGGCTTATTTTCTTAGGAGGGGGTTATTCTTGGGAGGAGTGTTGTGATTTTCTCATACAAATCGTCTTAGAATCACTTATTTTCAGAAAAAGTTATTGTTAAGGTCTGTATGTACCGAAAGACTCGCAATTTCCTGAGGAATTTCATGGTATAGGATTACGGATTGAGGACGACGTAGTGGCGACCGCTGAAGGAATAGAGGTGCTAACGGATGCGGTGCCACGATCACCTAGTGAAATAGAATATCTCATGCGATCTCAATAGATTTTTTTGTATTTGTTGCTGCTTTTAGGATAAAAGAGAGTGTTACTAACGACTCGTTATGAAGATGTAGCAAAGCTACAGAAAGCTGAGTTTTGGAAAGCGGCAAATTGGAAAGTCGCGTTCGCATTTTGTGCATGGGGTGAAACGAAAGTTTCGGAGTATGCAAAAATCGGTGGAATGCCCGACAAAGTCCCAAACCGCATGTTCTCAAAGTTGTCGGCTTCTCTACGCTGCCAGAATGAACTGGGCTTGAAAACCCTTGAATAAATGGCTCGGGAAATTTTTAGTGCGAAGATTTCGAATTCCGCGCAGAACATATCCTCGTAGAGCAGACAGTCGGACTATGTCCTATGTTAGGGGGTGCAGCAAGAATCCCAGTCAGTTCATCGTGCCTCCATACGTGCTCACTGAGTGTGGCGATTACTGGAGTTTCGTAAAAGACTTTCTGTTAACATAAATGAGGAGTTTGTAAAGGATTCATTGAATGCAAACTGCACCCTTACTTCCGACGACAGTGCTTTCCATGCACGACCGGAATGGGTCCTTAGCTGCAGTAGCAGGCCACTTTCTTCGCTAAAAATGCACGGGAACGAGGCTGGAGGGTAGTGATAACGGGTGCTTTCTCTGCGTAGCCTCAATGTGCAACTTTTGAGTCGATACCAAGATCCCGCTGGAAAATACGCGTCTAGAAGGGTAGATGTGTGAGGGAGTTATAACAAGTTGAGCTGGCGTTTGGCCTAATAGACATTAGCGCGTGGCTGGCGGTCGGTGGCGGCTGGTGGAGTCCTCAAGACCGGGCACTTAGGTATGGCTATTAAGTTGGCGGGATAGGTTTTGTCACTGTTTTTCGAATGTCAAATACTTGTCCATACCTGAAATGGGGGTGAAACGGTACTGTGCAGCACTTAAGATACACCAAAAGTGGTCTTTGCTGATAGTACAGACTCGCTTGAGTTCCTGCTTCTTCTCTTCTGCAATATGGACAAGAATGTTATCCGCTACCATCGCCACCGACCCCTCCAAATGCTTCTGATAGTGCAGCGCACTTCCAAAAAGTTTCTAGCCGTTCCTCATGCAATAAGAGCTGCAGTGGCCTGTAGGCACAGACATTGCTCCTTCTAACTGCGAGTTGCCTCCCGTAATCAATCATTACTGGACGAGAAATTACGAGAAAACCTCGAAAAGTCTGAGTTCAAGCCAAGATTGAGATGATGTCCAACTTTGTATCGCGCCTCCCTGCATTGTGAAGCGATGGCATCCATGAGGTGCTCAAAACAGGCAAGGACCCGCAGTAACATTGCTGTACAATTTTGATCTTACACGCCTCTCTATAAAAAGAAAGCCCAATTTGAAAAAAGTGACAGAACTTTCCCGCCAACCTATATATATAGCCTCGAGCCCGTTTCTGGGCACTTTTGATCGCAGAAAAAGACATGCTACTGCAGCTTAGGACCCATTCACTTTTCATTTGTAAGGACCAGGATCCATAGAGGCCAGTGTACAATTCGCACTTGGAAAAAAATCCAAATGTCCAAATAGCCTTAATTATATGCTTGGGGATTTATGCGGGTATAAGGCAAATCATCAGGAAAGCCCTTTTCGGTTTGTGGCTGATAGAATTCACTGTGACGTTATGTTGGCGAAGCAGCTCTCAATAGGTCCGTAGCACCCCCATGGACGGGAGAAGTTCACGACTTCCGAGGCACGGAATTTCCTAGCTAGTTGACGCAGGAGACGCAGCCACAGAGACAGTAGACGCGCAGCAGAGCTGCCACTTGTAGTCGATAGACAACTTTAGATCAATCTCTCAATCGCGTTGACTTTCTGTTTCACAACCACTCTCACGTCTGTATGGCTTTCTATGATCACTGTGCCCTCACACATTTCAGCTTGTTAGGCATGATTAGTGGCTCATCCACCATGGAGTTCCCTTTCCTGGAAAAAGTTGGCTCCCAGCATATTTTCTGCAGCTAGCCGCGGCATCTGCAGTTCTCAATTTCTCTGCGCTGTCGTTCGAATCTTACTCTATTAGGCTATCGTCCGAGCCGCATAATATCGTGAGCATAGTCGCTTAGGTCACAAATTTTGAAATTGATCTATGTTCCAGAACTCAAATATAGTGAGAAGCGGCAGGAAATAGGTGAACGCACTATGCTTGAGCGTTGAACGGGGAGTCTCTATGGGCTTGGATTTATGCATGGTAATGATAGCTAAACTAACGTTCAGACTGGAATTATGATGCGCCGTAACGCGCAGTAATGCGCTGTGACGCGCGTTGATGCGCTACGACTAAAACAGTGCTCCAGATCAGTGAACGCGAACGCAGCCGCAGACCGATCGGTATCAGTTCATGACTAGGCAGCACCTACCATCCTATTCCCCCATACTCTCTCAAAACGCAAGCGGCCGGTGCCCATCTTCCAGCGTTCGCAGAAGCGAATCGAATCGCGTTTTCGCGCGTTGCAGCTCGTCGACGCTGCCCAGTGAGGTACTATTGAACTATTAGCCCTAAGAACTTATAAAAATGTTCTCTGTTGAAACTCTGGCTATAAGGGTAATTCGATGCCTGACCGCGAATATCGCATTAGTTCCTAGCGCTGGCACCATTTCGTGCCAACTTCGCGCCACCACCTTTCTCACCAGACTTGGTGCAAACTTCCATACTGGGGTCATCTGGGCTCTTGAACACATGTACCACATTAGTTTCTGACGCCGCTGCCAATATGGCGTCACCTTGTTTTGACGCCGGCACGTGTAGCGCGCATTTTTAGCTGTTCAGTGACAAGCGGTGTGCTAGGGGAGTCAGAGAAGCACAGCCGGGCGAAACAGTACCCTTCGTCATTGCTTGCGATAGTGATCCGTCTGTTTGCTTAGGCTCCGCCTTTGGGAGATCAAAGGGTTACCATCTCGGGGGAAGGATGCAGACAAGCGCAACAAACTATGCTGTCACTTGCACTTCTTTTCCTCCATCCCTAAGTCCATCGGCACCTCATGTAGATGTGACATTCGTGATCTGGAGGTCAAACTGCCCCTGCGTACAAAGTTGATCAAACTTGCTGATTCAGATTATTTTGAGAGCGGCGCCTGTGGCGAGGGCGCCAAGCGATTCCGGGTCATGCGGTTGTGCTATTCATGTTGAGGAGGTCAAACTACCCCTGGGGACAAGTTTTCAGCAAATTTGGTGACTTAGGGTGTTTCGTCGCCGGGGCTTGTGGCGCGGGCGCCAGTCGATCACGGGCCAAGCGGATGTGACGTTCGTGTTCTGGAAGTCCAACTACACCTGTGAACAATTTCCAGCCAAATTTGCTCTCGTGGAAAAAAAGTCACTAGAAAAACGGGCTTAATTCCGGAAGAGTGGTGTAGTAATAGCTGAATAGTGCTGGTAATGAGGCGGAGGTGGTGTAGTGACAAGTGGCGCGCTTACCACTCGCGCGTTGCTGGGTTCGAATCGAGTGGACCCCCCAGGCCAGCCAAGGCCTTCTCCTCGGGATGGTAAATGGTACCAGAATTTTCAGGCGAGATATAAGAACATCTGACTGTAACATACGCTGGCCCCGCAAGCCATTTGTATAGGCCACATTCGCATTCCCTAAAGCCACGACGGATTCCGAATGGAAGTAGAATGCGTGCCGCATCCCACGAAGGGACTGATTAACGGCGAAGACTTTATCCTTTATCCTTCAGTGCTGGTAATGAAAGTAGTTCGTCAGTTCGTCATTATTCCTTCTTTTATAGGAGAACGTATAAAAGCAGATATACTGTTATTACGAGATGCTTGCCTGTTTTTAAGCACCACCTTAGACAGCGTCCAGACTTGTGATAACGAGGGCTTGCTATTAGGTTGTCCGGGATTCTCAGCGTTTTATACTACTACCAGTCGGATCACCGGCTGCCGCCGGGTGCTCCTCCTTCTGGTTCACGGCCCGGCTTCGCTGGGCCGATCTGGCTCTGCCAGGCACTCTTCCCTTGGGCGGGGTAGAATTGCGCCCTAAATGCTGCCAAAGTGAAAGCAATTTTTAGTTGAAATGCAGGAAAATGAGTTGAAAATAGCTCAACATCAGTCATTATCTGCCAACATCTGGTCCCCCTTGCTTACTACAGACTTTCAACGGTGAGAAAGCTGCACCATATCATTAAGGACCGCAGTTACGACAACAGAATGGGTAAAGTTTAATTAGTCCGGATGAGCCCTTAACAATTGGAAGAGGCATAGCTGCAGAGTAATGGGTGGCACTGAAAAGGAGAACTCCACATTGCTTGAACATATAAAAGTTTGTCTCGCACGAACACGGAGAGCTCGAATGACCACCGATAGGACGCTCTCACTCCCAATCAAGGTGTTGACATTCCCGCCATCTTTGTTCGCCCCGCCACTCCTAACACACATTCATACACATATCACATATGTAGCTGGCAGCTTTGGCGAAAGTTTTTTGATTGGTGAATTTCCCGATTTTCGCGTTTCAGCCAGCGCTATATAACCGCCCCCACCCGTCGCTATCACCACTTGCATGCATGCTGAAAAGCCGCAACACTTCACGGACATCTGGTATTCGTTGCCATCAAAGGAACGGTCAACACTGAGCTCTAATATTCGGCATTCATAAGCGCGGTAAGAAGCTGAAATAAAAATGTAGGGGCAGGATGGCTATACGTTACCCATTTTTATCGATTGATAAGGTTACCTGTCACCCGTCATCAATGTCCTCGTCACCAAATGTCTATGATTTGTGAGCGCGAACCACCTTGAACAGCGACGACGAACTGCCCCCAACTTACTTATCAGTCGCTATCTAGTAGTTATCGCTTCCAGATCACCCACGCTATTCATCTTCCTCATGTCACCCTCTATATCACTTTCTGAGATGTAACGCTCACTGATGAGCAGCTGACAGTTCTTGTCACGCATCAATAATGCTTCTTGGCCCATACTCTTTATCATATCTTGGAATCCAAGAAAGCCTAGCTGATGATGCACCCGCGCTTAATGAATATCAGGTGCACCTCCCGCCCTTCTAACGCCTCTTATCGATCTCATCAATGATGCAACTCCTGTCACCTACCAATAAGCTGCCCCGTCACATACCTTCTTACAGCACTCATTGGCAACCATGTCTCCACTGCTACTGGGACCGCCCGCTATGAATTTCGTGACAAACAGACACACACACACACACACACACACACACACACACACACACACACACACACACACACACACACACACACACACACACACACACGGACATAGCGGATTAAAGTAGGTGTCGAATATTTGAGATACTTCTGCCAAACGAGGTTTTCAGATGACACCTTTATTGGCCTAACGTTTCGACCTTCTCGTCTTCTTCAGAGGCCTGAAAATGGCTCGAAGCTTTTAATTTGTTACCTACCCGACCAAACGCCCTCCCCACTCTAGCGTTTCCGACCTTGTTTCCCGAACGCTTCCCAAAACCGCAATGAATTCCTAACAACTCACCGAGGTATCACCGTGCGGAGCACAGCTCACGCAATAAGTTAGTAGTACCAGTAAGGACGAAGGAGACCGACTTGTGTCTCAATGCCCGACACAGCTGCATTCGAAGGCGTATTTAGAAGCTGATCCATCTCCAAACAGTGAAGAGATACTGCCCTCAGAAAAAGCTAGGCGGTGGAATCCACTATGCGGATGGACTGAAATGCATTGGGGAAGGTGAAAAAATAATTCGGACAACTGCGGTGATCCACAAATTTGACGTTGACCGCACGCAAAGTGGGCCAGCGTCTCGCACAGATCGGCTTCACTGCTTTGTCAACAGCAAACGACCCGTTTTGGACCGAGTTGCCAACCATCGTAAGATGAAAAGGAATCAGATATGATAAACAGCAGAACGTTACCGAGTAGCTGGTATTCGGATGCCGAAAAAAACTCACTGAGCAAATTCCAAAGCTGAATTCCTCACAGAAAAAACAAGATTTCATGCGCACAGTGTGCCGTAGACATACAGCTGCTGGTGTGATCCACTATAACTTTTGTCACCAGGCCAAACCATCACAGCAGAGTCCTACTGTGAAGAAATCGACGAAATGTACCGAAAATTGCGTCAGCTGCAGCCAGCACTTGTCAACAGAAAGGGTCCGATTCTTTTGCATGACAACGCCGCCCACACGTTTCACAAATCACTATCCATAAAGTTGAACGAATTGGGGTCGAAGTTTTTACCTCACCGCCATGTTCTCCTAGACCTTTCACCAACCGACTATCACCTTTTCAAACATTTTCAGAACTTCCTTGCTGGAAAATACTTCATCAATCAGGACCAGGCAAAAAAAGCCTTCGTGGATTTCGTGGATTCTCGACCACCCAGTTTTTTTTTGATGGGATTTCTCGACTGCTGTCACATTGGCAAAAGTGTGCTGATTCGAACGGTGCTTATTTCGATTAAATCCGATGAGTATTAAGAAAGTTATGATCGTTTAAAGTGAAACACTCAAAACGCTGAGAACTTTCCGGACAACCTAATAATATAACGCGCTGTAACGCGCGTCGACGCGCCACAATTGCATGAAGGCGTTCCAATGCTACCCTTTCAGGCGTGAGTGGTGGGAGGAGACAAGCATAACCGGTGGTAACTTGTCGAATTCTAGTGACCGCGCTCGCGCCTTCAAGTAACTCTACTTTCGTTGAAAGGTTTTTTGGAAATGGACAAAAGAAAACAGAAGCAATCCAGTCTGCGAGGGAGGATGAGTTTTGACACTGCTTTAGTGCAGTGGAGATGCAATCAAATTGATGCGATAGTTTGTAGGACTACCACAATCCCTCCCCTACACAAGACCTGTTCGAATGTTGTCTTCTTCACGGGTTTTGTTTATGTGCAAATTTTTCGTTTCATTTCTGCTGTTAAGTTTAGTCTTAAATGCGAAAGTGTAGTGTAGTTCGCTGCGGACGGTTGGGCGTGTCAGGCGGGATGAGTTTGGCAGGTGCCAAACCCGTTCTCCACCAGTTGTTGAAGCGAACAAATGATATGACTGTATCATATCGTTGTATTACTCGTTTTCTATCGCTTTTTGTCGCATGCGCGCTTCACACGTTCAACCGCGAACTAGAGTGTCAATCTGTCAGCCAAGAATATATGGATGAGTCACTGTATCAGTTTGTTAGCATGGCACCAGGGAGCTCGAGCAACAGTGTCCTTTATGTCTTTCTTTATATTGCAGTCGGTCGGCGACTATAGGTTCACAAAAGACAAGAGAACCCCAACAGGTGGATCCGGTCATTCGCAATGATATTCACATCTATGTACGTGTCTTGAGACGGTAAGCTCAGATTTTCTCACGATTTGCGGAGCGCCTTCGAGAGCGGGATTACGCTGGTTTTTTCCCGCACGCATAGGCGCGTGGAAGCGCCTCTATAAAAGACTGCGGAGTAAAGCCTGATGAGGCAGCGCAGCTCAACCATCAGTGGGGCCTGTCCCAAGCACCTGGTCACGAGATCAAGCCCTTGTTGGACGCTGTTTTTTGCTCTCACAGAAATATGGCTGGGAAGACTTCAAATATGGCCTTTAGGTCAAAAGGTATTCGAGAGCAGTTTCTGGCGTTTGGGTGCCCTATGGCCTAGATAAGGTCTTGGGTAGTGCTCCACACGCGTTTCCTTGTCAAATACATCTGAGATTTACGTTGCTCTGTCTATCAATTTGTCAGCGTGTTTCAAATAGCAGTGTTCAATAAGATCAATATTGAATGTTTATGGTTTGTTTCATATATTCTAGTTAATCGGTTAGTATGTACAGTTAGTGAGTTGTAAAGTGTCATAAATATGCTGTTTGCTTGAGACTACCAAAATATAATTATGTGCATTTCTCTACTTTGATCGAGTCGCGAGTGATTTCTCTACGAGTATAGAAGCAGCTGAGTGGAATGACTAGAGGAAGTCGACTTTGTGTGGATGGAAGTTGATGAAACTTCTAATGACATCGTGATCGGCGATGCGAATCAGCCTTAACGCGGATTTGGGTATGCTCATCGAGGGCAGTGTCTGCAAAAATTCTGTGATTAGATCCGACTTTTACGATCTAATCCTTCTATCTTTCTTTCTTACCTCCCATTTGTAAGCTCTCATGTCGAATCGCTCCACAGTGCTTGTAGTTCGGGTTCCATCGAATCCACCGGCTATGTATATACATCCGTTCATAATTTCAATTCCAAAGTTAGATCTAAAATAATTATGATGACATTAAAGGATATATTTCATGGAATGAAAATTTCATATAGAGTACTCACCGAGTAATTTCCATGTCGGGAAGCGGATACCAAAGTCCTACTCGCTGGTCGTAGAACTCAGTGCTTTTCAGACGTCGCACTCCATTAAATCCGCCGACGACGATGACCGAATTTGCTTCGTACGTAACTGCTGACACTCCAGTTCGCACAGAACGCATTGCTGACGATCCGTATACCCTGCACGAGAAAGTTTCAAAATCAGTTCCACACTCTAGGAATAGATTACAACCATCACGTCACAACGAGATAGACATTTACATAAAAAAAGCTGTCAGTTGCGGCTTATTCGGCTTCTCAGTCGTTGCTGGCATCATAGCCTTACCTGTCACCAAATAATGGCAGAGAAGAAACAAATGCCTACCTCTGTAAAGTTGAAGAAGGGAGGCTCAAGCCTAACTGGACTGTACTGGACGTGAGAGGGTGAAGAATGAGTGTATACCTCAATCCTATAGAATCTATTAGGATTGTTATCTCAGAAGAGATAAATCCTCACTGGTATCGCAGCGATTTGGTCAGATCACAGTGTTTCGCTTATGGAAGAAAACATTCTAATTTCCCTTGCAAAGCTAGCTCGGCTAGAACGTTGTTTTGAACCATTTTTCATGCGAGATGGCTTCTATGCGACGTGTTTGGGGGGCTATCTGCTTTGATGGAGGTGGTCAGCGTCAGCAGCAGTGATAGGACATAAATTATTGTCTCATTGTGGCTAACAAGTATATGCGCCAACGAAAATTCTTCTCTTTCAGAGTGCACTATTCTGCCGAATTTTTCATCGGATATCTCCCAGTATGTCCTAAGTAACGAATTACAATAAGAACATGAGAAGTATCCGCCGTGTATAGCAACAGAGGACATCAAACGCGAGACGACTGAGTCAAAAGTGCGCTGCAGATTGTCCAATTCCATTTCGGTCCATAGATTGTCACTCAATATCCAAAATGGTGGTTTCTTGCTCTTCAGTTTCTCTTCTGTAGAACTTCACGCGAAAAAATCAAGTGGATTAGGCGCGAGCTGCTGCAAGACAATTAGTGTTTGCGACGAATTCTGGGGCTTTTGCAACAAAGGTGCCGATATTCCTTTATGAGCCCATTTCCAGTAAGGTTAGAAGATTATCTGTCTACAGTTGCACTCAGTCGCCTTTTAAGGGTCTACATAGTCTCGAGCATTGGTTTTTCATCTTGGCATCGATGATTCTGAGAGTCTCACTGCCTGTAGTGGATATTCCGTTCCAACAGTGAAACCTTTCAGAATGTGTGAGTGCTGTAAAGCTACGGACATAAAAGCCGTTGAGCTGAGAGGGTAAAAGCGGCCCTGGTGGCGTAACGGATAGCGCACCGGAAAGCGTGAGGTGCGGGTTCGACTCCCGCCTGGGGCACGACTTTTGCCCACAACTCAGCATTCTTGTGATAACATTCGCACAATGCCATAAGAAGAGAGTAGAGCGCCGGCCAGCGTTCCAGCCATTACTAACATAGACTGACACACGGCTCACTAATTAAGTGTCAAATGCTGTAACGGCTACGGCATAGAAGCCAAGCTGAGAAAGGTAAAAACAGCCCTGTGGCGTCACGGAATAGGCACTCAAGCGTGAGGTCGTTCGACTTCCACGGGCTCGACTTTGACCAAAACCACACAGTCCTGTGATGCTTTCAGTATTAATTTCACGTGAGTGACTCCTCTTTCTTGATTTCTACGGTGCAAATCAGAATAAATAAAAGATAAAGGATCAACCTCTTCGCCGTTGAATGCATTCGCCTTTTGTGGGAATAAGCGGTCATTCGCATTCTACTTCCATTCAGAATCGTAGTGGCTTATTGAATGCGATGTGGCCTATACAATGACTTGCGGTGGCCAGCCGATGTACAAGTCAGTGTTTTATCCTCCCAGACGAATCTGGTACCAATTCACCGTCCCCGGAGGGTAGAAGGCTTGGTTGGCCTGGCGCAGGAGTCGACCAGGATTCGAAGCCCGGGACCTGCGCGAAGGTTAGCGCCGCACTGTCACTCCCCCACCATCTCCGCTCCGAATCAGATACATTTATTCAAGTGTTGAGGTTGCAAATCGGCGGAGAAATTTCACATTTCGAGCAACAACCATCCTCCACGGCAGCCGGCGCGTAATTGCATCTCATTGGGGCTTCTCCGATGACTTCCTTTGTCAAGATGGTGTCCTCGTACATTGCATACTTTTACGAGACCCTAGCTCCCTTCAAGAGTTTCTGAATGTCCTTTGACGATTCAGACCCTTCCTATCAATAGACGAGAGAACACATTGTGGTTACGGTAAACCTCCTGTCCAATAATACGGTCCATCCTATATGAAAAATGCTACGAAAGATTCTGTCGTGAAACTGCCAATTGTTTGAATGTAAATGGAAGAATATGGGAAATCAAAGAAACAGCGACCCATAGTATAGGCCATTATGTACTTGGTACGATCAAAGATGAGAAACAACATGTTAGAATTGTTTGAGACGGTCATGCCACCAGGATTTCTGAGCCTCCCATGACTTTCTTCGCACTGGTTATGGATTATAGGTCTTGCGATATACAGTTGTTTAACGAGTAAAGGAGAAGCCGAGAACAACACGAAATATAGGCCCCGAAATTAACACTGGTTTAGACTGTAATCGCACTCTTCAAGCTCACAGCGATTATCACCGTCAAATCAATCTTACTCGCACCAGCCAGTCAGTATCTCTGGACCGTCAAGGTGTGCAATTTATAGCATTATACGTATATGCACTAGAATAGATGTGTGCTAGGCCGGATTGCTTCGATTATAATTGGAGCAGGCTGCACTCACAACTCGATCACAAAAGTTCGCGGCTTTACAACGTGACTATACTGTTATAGAATACATGAATCAGGTTTGACACAACTGTAGTAGCACACCAAATTTGGGAAAACCTAGCAGTCAAAATAGCGGTCAACGAAGAGGCCAAAAGTATTCTACGTTTCAAAAGTAGTGTCCTCAGGGTCCTTGAACTTGGAAGGCACATGAATTAGGGAGTTGCCGGACAATAAGCAGATGTTTAACATTCACGCTTACTGCGAACATCTCCAGGCCTCTCTTCTGCACCATTGTGCTGAAGCATCGGCCACGACTATTCAATCGTCCTTTTGCGGGATAACGGCCATCCTCATTTTACAAAGTGGTCTAGATCAGTGTCCTTGGGGAAGACATCGAAGGGTTACAGAAGTGATCAGCCCGAGCTGTTTGATAGATCCTCATTCTCTGTAGAAGATGGTGTACAATCGTTCGCAAATGGTTGCACATGAGTCAAGATAATGGTAGTTGTGTTGCTGACAGTTAACTCCTCTTTCAAGCGTAAGAATTTGAGAAAAAAAGAGAGATACCGGAATACGTCCTAAACTAGGTAGTAAGGCGAGTGTCAGAGCAAGGGGTGACTGGGTAGAGTTATCATATGACGGAGCCACATTTCATTCATCAACTGCATACCATGTCTGCGTTTCAAAATCCAGCATTTCTATGTCGTTGTGTATCGTTCGTCCATCGAATCCACCAATAACCGTAGGACGTCCTGCTAGAACGACAGCGCCTGCATCCGATCTGTGAAATGAGATCCTTCTGAACTTTTCCTTGTGACAAGGTGATGGTGAATAACGCTACCGTTGCTTTGCCATGAACGGAAGGTGATACCAATGGTTCTTTTCTATGTGAAGAATCTCAGCAGAATTAAGTCGTCGATGGCCGTTGTACCTGGAATCATCGTGAGAATAATTCCGAGGTAAGAGGTTGTTGAAAGCACACCCAGCTTCTGGCCCCTCACCTACATATTTCGTTGCGAAACTCTCTTAATTAGCTTATTCAACATCAGTGCTTTTGCACTCATTTAAGGGGCCCACCTCTTCTTTTAATGTCGCTACTCTACTGGGCAACACAAAATCATTTCACAAGGCAGCAGCAATATCTCGTTATGGCCTATATTCGTCCTATCCACTGGATCTTTGCATCTGTCTTTTACCCAGTCAGGGTAACTTGAAGAGATGCACCACCGATTTAAGGCAACACCTGTTAGTCTCTCGCAATATCGCTTACTTCCAAATATGTAGAAGAATGACCTCAAAATTCATTAAAGCTTAATTACCCTCCGATAGCAACAACGTGGTATGTTCCAATTGGATCCACAAACGGAGTTGCAGCTACGTAGCACCGTCTGTCGTGCATATTCGATATCGCCTCCCAACTCTCAAACAATCATTTGCTGCTTTGAGGAGTGGTTTATATTTGTTCAAAGTGAACTCAAGTAGGACTATAAGAGTACATCTTGCCGTCTCCATGGTCCTAGTTAATTCTGATGAAAGCGATACAGTTGCTCTAAAAGACGAGAGCTTTCGCCAGTCGTTGCAGGTTTGAACCGCAGTTTGGAGGTGTTTGCAAAACTGTTTGCTGTAACAGTCTCCATCTGTATGAGAAGTTTCAGTGGTACGTTACTCATTGCATCAGATTCCAAGAGGTGGCTAGCTACACAATGAGGTGACCACGTGCGGTGGACGCGTGGTATGTTCAAAGGGGAGACATTGCGTAGAGAGATAGAAGGTTCATACCACTCATCATTGGTGCACATCAAGTCCCCCCCCCACTAATTCCCGATCAGATATGTCTTTTGAACAGCGATCTCGTCGAGATGGCTCCACCACTCCACCGATAAAGCCGATAAAGCATAATAGTTTGGTGCTTGCTCAAAAATAGTAGAAGAGGTGCTGCAGAGTAGGGAACGACGAAAAATCGATGGCAAATGGCAAAAACCTGCGAAAAAGCCTTGTCCTGCAGGGTATGAGCATTTTTGGACGAGTATCATTGGCATCGTGCCAACAACTGCTTTGATAGACACGGCTGCACGTATGTGTTCATGCATCCATGTGGCAACGCTTCGTATCGTTGTACTTCTCGAATGAAGCATAAGCAACCACCGGTGATGTGACTGAACGGCCATTCGTGAGCGGGCGATTCCGTTAGGTGTCTGTGTCGGCATGTTGCACCTTGGTAGGCGCTGTAATGGACTTTGGTTGAAAGAGGCCCCACAGCGCATGCTATGGACACAATGTTCTTTATTCGAGCCTACACTTGCCTCTAATTATAACTGCTATGATACGGAAAGGGATTAAAACTGAAGTAGTCTGGATGTGTAGTGTATGCAGTTCTTGTCAACTCTAAAAAACCAGAATTGTGGGGCGGCGCCGTGGGTGGCAGTGGAAAGAGTTACTTTGCTTTCATCTTGAAGCGTGCATCACACCTTGTGAAGCTTACCATTGCCGGGATATCTCCTGAGATATTATCCTTATTTAAAAAAGAGCAGGGAGAGCTATCAGAAAAAACTTCTTAATCGTTGTTTTTTTTAGTTTTTTGCCTCTCCAGGAGCTCTGTATGATCCTCCCGCTCTACTGCTGCTACTCGTGCTATGAATTTGACGACCCTTCCCTTCTGACACCTTTTATCGGACCGTCAGTTGTTATCCCTCTCCGTCATAATCTCCTATATCACAACCAAAATCACCTGCTGGGACTAATTTCCAACCGCTGTAGCGACGCGCACTAAGAACTAGGTGACGCTCTAGTTCCAACAGCCCTTATCTGTCCCAATCAGCTGCTATCACTTCCTGTCACCAGAAAGTAATCATCGTGTCTGATCCCCCACATCATATATCGGGATCAACTGCTCACTGTCACTAAGACCGAGCTATGAACTTCATAACCATTCCAAGCTCACGCTCCTCACTGGATCTTATCAACTGCTATCATTATTTGTCACCTACCAATGATTTTCTCGTCGCACCTCTCCCCGCCCCCTTACAACTTTTGGAAGCAACGTGCCATTGCTACTGCGACCAGCGACACTTAGTTTCTAAAAAGGTAGACGGACACCACCCACACACTTACAGACATACTTGAAGGGTTTACCAGAATAAGCTTTTATCAGTCCCTGTGGACAAACGTCACCAAGCGTGCTCCTTTTGTCGGATCGACAGGCAGTAAGCAGTCGTAAGGATTTTGTTGCCAGTGATATCAAAAAGGGACTGAAGGTTGGTCACTCACTGAACGCTACCCTCTGATAAGCGAGCAGTCGTAAATCATAATTTTGCCCTATGTAGTTTGGCCTTGTTAATATGGTGCAACAAGGACTGACTTTGTCTTCGTCGGTTGCTCCTAGCTGTCACTCGTTTCCCAACTGTTCCCGTTTATTATCTTTACCATTTGCTGACAAGGGAAACTTCCGCCACGACGGAAATAGTCGCGATAGTGACGCTTGATTGACTCCTACTATTGGCTCTTATTAGTTGCTACCACGTCCTATCACCTGCCATCAGTATCCGCGTCATACTCTATTCTATCATATTCTATCACATATCATAACCAGCGTCCCAACGTTGCTGCAACACACGCTGTTGATTTCGTGACATGAGTAGAAGTATGTCTACACGGAAGCCCACTCACACTGTGGTGCATGAGAGGACGCTGTGAGTGGCAATGATGGCAATTCAGCTCTGCTATCATTATTTGTCACCTACCAATGATTTTCTCGTCGCACCTCTCCCCGCCCCCTTACAACTTTTGGAAGCAACGTGCCATTGCTACTGCGACCAGCGACACTTAGTTTCTAAAAAGGTAGACGGACACCACCCACACACTTACAGACATACTTGAAGGGTTTACCAGAATAAGCTTTTATCAGTCCCTGTGGACAAACGTCACCAAGCGTGCTCCTTTTGTCGGATCGACAGGCAGTAAGCAGTCGTAAGGATTTTGTTGCCAATGATATCAAAAAGGGACTGAAGGTTGGTCACTCACTGAACGCTACCCTCTGATAAGCGAGCAGTCGTAATCATAATTTAGCCCTATGTAGTTTAGCCCTTGTAACATGGTGCAACAAGGACTGACTTTGTCTTCGTCGGTTGCTCCTAGCTGTCACTCGTTTCCCAACTGTTCCCGTTTATTATCTTTACCATTTGCTGACAAGGGAAACTTCCGCCACGACGGAAATAGTCGCGATAGTGACGCTTGATTGACTCCTACTATTGGCTCTTATTAGTTGCTACCACGTCCTATCACCTGCCATCAGTATCCGCGTCATACTCTATTCTATCATATTCTATCACATATCATAACCAGCGTCCCAACGTTGCTGCAACACACGCTGTTGATTTCGTGACATGAGTAGAAGTATGTCTACACGGAAGCCCACTCACACTGTGGTGCATGAGAGGACGCTGTGAGTGGCAATGATGGCAATTCAGCTCTGGTTTCAATGTTATTGTAACGTTTTGGTTAATGGATTCTGTTGGGATCATAGCTGCTTTCTAACAAGTTTGCACTAAGGGTTACAACAGGATTGTTGAACAATCTTATCAAGAAAAGGTAAGATCATTTCGAAGCCGAGTAAATAGCGTAGGACTCGGTGTGAATCATTTTGTTGTTCAACTTTCCCTACAGATCGCCTTATTCACGTTGATGCCAGCGGTTCAGTGCCAGGTTCATTGGTGGAGTGAGTTTCGCTTTAGACGATTCAGTAGTCTTTCAGAAAGCGTAATTAGGAGTTGACCTCTTCCCTTTTGTTGCGGACATTTTGATTCATTCATATCCAGCGCGACCACCTTGATAACTATCTCGATCTAATTGTAAGAATCGCGTACACTACGCAGCACAAGCCAGCTATTTCAGGATAATCGTTTCAGTTTTGAGTAACTGATCCGTTGAACAATACCGTGTCCCTGCCAAAATTGAACACTTATGTTCCTCTCATAAATATACTAACCAAGCGGAACTCCTTGATGATGCTGGTCCAGAGCCTTTCTGAGAGTACTGCACTTCGTATCAAAGATTTGCGATAGGCAGCTAGGCGATTGGATGGATGCACACAGTGGACGACCGTATTTATTAATTCCTCCATCAAGGTACTCATTTGCAGGAAAGATGCGGTCACCATTAACTGAAATTGAGCAGGCGGTTATCAACAGTGATGAGTAAGATGGCAAGTGTACCAAACGAAGTGTTCACTGACATTCATTGCAGCTTCTGCTGAGAACTTTGGCGTCGTGCCATTGTACATATGGGCAGTTAGTGAAAGGCACGCCCGAAAATCGGACGAATTTACACAAGTCAATCTGCAATGGATACAGATCGGAAACGAAAGTAATTTTGTATTGCAGCACAGCGAATACGCCGACGCGGCCATCGAAAGGTATACTATCTTAGCCGGGCTAGGTATGTTGTAGCTATACATTGACATTTGAGAGTTGCGGAAGACCTTCCCTGCTCCGCGTCTAGTTCCTCTCAAGCACTCCGACTAAAAATGTGATAATGATAAAGCAATGCTATGCGTGAACAACCGGTGCGAGTGGTTGGTGCACACTCAATACTGAACCGGCTGTAGTCCGTCATGCAGTGCAGATTGTCTCTTGGAGTGGACCCCAAATTCGTCACGTCAGCAACTGCTGTTTTGATACGCCTGTTGGGCGAGAGTGTGAAGTTGCACTACGCCGCCATCCAGCTCCCGAGCTCCACTGATGCTTTGAATAAAAGATAATATTGTTTACGGTTGTCATCCATTTTGATAAGGTGACCAAGTTGATCGGAATATGTTCTAGGTATGTGTTCTTTCAGAACGACGTTGCGCATTCGGTTGCTTGACACGTCCTCTATGTTTTCTTTTAGCTCTGGTCGATACAGTTGTTCTATAGTAATCTACTCGTACTGCACTCCTGGCACTGCTGCTATTGCTACAATGGAGCAACCGATCTCTATCTCCAGTGCTGTTCAAATGCGTTAGCATATATCTAATCATTTTCGGTACGGCCAATCTCTTTTCACCTTGACTGTGAATGTTTTCAAATTAGAAAATTTTCAGGTCGAGAACCTTCTACAAGACAGAAAAGTTGATTCATGAATCGAACAACCTCCAAAGTCTACCTCACTCGGCTGGACTTGGATTCTAAGTATGAACCGTGAAACAGTGCGCGGAAGAAGAGCGATTCAGATGCTAATCGACAACGACTTAGTAGAAACTGAAAGAGGTATACTGATTGCAATCAAGGAATACGAGGAAGGGAAAGAAAGCACTGAAAGTGTCACTGACCAAACTTCCATCACTAGTTTCAACGATGACTTCGTCCTTCGTAGAGATGATTGGTGTCGATGGTCCTGGTTCTTGGTCTGCCGGTAGAGCAGCAGTTCTGCATCGTACATCGTGGTCGAGCGAGATGACAGGTGTGCAGTCTTGTCTGCCAGTCGTCACCGAACCTTCATTCTCTTGCTCACCGACCATCTACCGCCGAGAATGTTACTGAAATGGCTTTGTCATTGCCGCTACTTATATGCGATCACCAGTGGCGGGATAATCCTCTGTGATCTTCACAAAGTCATGTGGCAACCATTCAGTCGCTCGCTTCGAGTAGGACGAGTTGGTGGGCCACCATCAAGCGCCACCGCAAGTGTCAATGTATACACGAGGGTTGAGCACCAGTTTTACCTTCACCCGTGAAATGTTTCTCGGGAAAGTAAACTGAATAACATCGTTCAGTGTAAAGATGTTCTCTGCTGCGGTCTTATCTAGCTTTCACTTACGGTGAACCTAGAATCTTCTGGAAGCAAAAACTCTCCCTAACCGGGTTCACTGCAGTTTGCTAACTGCTTTTCGTAAAGATGCCGCGGCCGACAACCTTGAAGAAGGTTACCAACGGGACGAATCACTGCACGCCTTCGCAGCATCTCAAGCTTTCGACGATAAGATCAGCAAACCATTAGGTTATTTTCGTTTAGAGCAGGTATTTATTGTTCATTCAGTTTATCAACCTATGCGAAGAAGCCAACAAAGAGGGCGCCACGTACGAACGACTTCCGTTGTCATTTAGCCGCATTGTCAAACCTTTTCCCAGCAATTCTATGAAGAAGGAAATCCGAATTTGCAGAAACCTGATTTATCTGGCGACTCGCAAAAAAAAACAAAGCCCTCCTCCCTCCCTAAAATCACTCATCTAGGGAACATCATGTGGATGGGGAAATATCCGCTACACTACGACTTCCCTTCAGCAGAAACTGCCCTGACGTACGCGTTAGAATACTACTATAGATGTGTCGCTGCCGCTTCGCGTGCTGCTGGAGCAGGTGATCCTAAGAAATCATCTTACATTTGTTGAAGTACCGTTTCTTCGACAAACGGCCATCTTCTAAAAGGCAGATTACCGGGGGAACGGATAAAGGGCGTACAGACCGGGATCGGAGCTCTCAAAGTACATGAAGATTTTTTTTGCTTCGTATTCAAGGGAACGTTGGGTTGCCAAAGATCTGCGGTACTTTCAGCCGGTCGTCCTTGAAAAAAAACTAAAAGGTTTTCAAAGGTTTCTATCTTTTATTTTTGCATAGTGTTCGTGGAGATTTCAGCAGACAGCTCCATAATAACCTCGCGTAACCATCTACAGTTTTGATTCCTCAAGAGCAGCAGGCACAGTAATTTGGTTCCCAGCTGAGCACTGATGTGGGAAAAGCTTAGAAGCGCGAAAGTGAAGCAAAATGGGACGAATTATCAAATGCATTAAGAGCTCAAGAGCTTGGAAGCTTCTTCTACTTTTGTTCCAGCAAAAGCACGGTAATCACAAAGACCGAGTGAGGTGAATATGAGGGATGGGCAGCCAGTTGATTCCAGGTTTCTTGGAATTGGTCCCTTGTCCCATGTCGCCTTCCTCTTATATGGTCGGGCATTGTCCATGATGTTGTGATGTTTGTAACAGAACTGGTCCGGTGGGCTCGGGACTCTAGCTCTCGTAGTTGCTCACAGAATATTCATGATATAACATCAGTAGCCTCGGGAAAATCTTTCTCTGCAGCCTGTGGACAGAAGAGAAACGAAAACAACTCTCCCTTGGAGTGCGAACCTCTCTTTGGAACGGGCTTTGGCTCTTGGTACAACGCAACCACTCCAGTTTGATGTCTGAGTTTTCGTATGAGATCCAGTTTTCGTCCAGAGCGACGTCACCTGGAACAGAGTTTCCCTTTTTTCTGGTCTTTCCCTTTTTTTCATTCTATGTGACGGGAGAGGCCATAACCTGCTAGTACGGTCACTAGCTCGCCGATGCATCATTTTGAAAAGTGGGCGGGGCCTTCCACAAAGTGGGCGGAGCTTCAATTAGTGGGCGGAGGCCGCTTGCCACGGCCCAAAAAAGTGAAGATTGGATGTGAAAAAACCGACGTCGAAAAAAGTTATAAAAATTCAGAACTTACGTCACTTCATTGTGAAGTGGGCGGAGTCAGATCTGTATCGGTACCAATCCTTTTCAGCCGAAGTGTGTGTGCAACTAGCAAAAGTGAAAAAAGTCGAAGAAGCAGATTTCATAGAACATTTTGGAAAACCGTGACCGCGCTGAAAAGTGGGCGGGGTGTTGAGCGGGGCTTGCAGCGGCACCTGCTTAGTGTGGCTATAGTTTATGGTCAACTATCTATTGTAAAGGTGTGGTCTCCGTTATTTGATTGAAAAGTTGTAAGGGGTGTGTCCGATTTGATTTGAAAAGTGTCCGATTTGGTTTGAAAAGTGTCCGATTTGGTTTGAAAAGTGTCCGATTTGGTTTGAAAAGTGTCCGATTTAAAGTGAAAATGGTATACCACAACTGAATATTGATTCCTAAAAATTACCCACTTATTTGGTTGTTGAGAAAGGCCATCACGATGACGTTTTTCTATATATCTACCTTGTGGATTACGAAGTGTTCTACTTCTAACAAGGGAAGGATGGTAGGTCGAAGTGGCCATTTGAAATGAAATGTATACCGGCTGAAAGGTCTTCGGACGGGAATTACGAAACCGTCTTCCATATCTGCTGCGGACCTCCAGTTACGGAGCTTTCTTAGGGGGAGAATATTCGCATTCACTACGAATTGGACGGCGTAAGGCTCACACGACGTGGCAGCATGGCCGAGTGGATACGTCGTAGGGCTCACGGATGCGTGGTCGAGGGTTTGGATCCTTGATGCGTGTGCTCTTTTGCATTTTTTCGAAAGTGGTCCCTGTGCACTTCAAAGCTATTTTGCATAACACTTGTCCCTGATAATGTCGTGACGTAATGATTCTGAACTGATGGAGCCATTGCGAACGATTCCATGGAGAACATTTTCTGGCTGTTGACTTCTTCTTTCTTTGATTTTCAAAGCATACACAACAAAAGTGCATTCCAACGAATGATTTTGCCCTGAAAATGACTATTCTCCAAATGACATGACTGGAAAACGAATCCGAAGCCGCACGAAGTTGTGCACGAAGATGAGTATAGTGGGAAAATGCTTTCATATGAAGTGGCGTTGATGTGGCAATCATGCTGGAGATCGCGATGGGCAAAACCTTCATTCATTACTCACATAGTGTTGAAAGATGTCTATCCCAAAGTGGTTTCGCACCTGCTGGAAGTTTTCGGGTGATCTCTATGAAATCGTTCGCAATGGCTCCATCAGTTCAGAAACATACGTCACGACATTATCAGGCACAAGAGTTATGCAAAATAGCTTTGAAGTGCACAGGGACCACCT